TGCGTCGAGTCAGGTGTTTGCTGCAGCGTCCAGGTCTGGTCCTGAGTCTGCTCCCTGCTCGTGTCATCTCCTGTCCCACCAGACTCTCCTTTGGCACCACCGCCTTGGTCACCCCTCCCTGCCTCGTCTCCGAGGCATGGCCTCCCGTGTCCTTGTCTCTGGTCTCCCCCGGTCTCTCCCTCCCCTACCTCCGGGGCCTGCCCCTACCTGCGTCCCCTGCGTCGAGGGGCAACAGCGCGCCGCCCCTCACTCCTCCGAGTTTCCTCCGACAGAGGCTCCGCTGCAGACTCTTCACATGGACGTGTGGGGCCTCGCCCGCGTCCGTGTCCAGGGTCACGAGCGTTACTTCCTGTTGGTGGTTGACGAATACTCGCGTTACACCACGGTCTTCCCCTTGCGCAGCAAGGGTGACGTCACTGAGGTGTTGATCGATTGGATCCGCGCAGCTCGTCTCCAGCTGAGAGAGAGTTTCGGCTCGGACTTTCCTGTTCTGCGTCTGCACTCTGACAGAGGCGGGGAGTTTTCCTCTGACCGTCTGGGAGCCTTCTGTCGTGCACAGGGCATCCGCCAGGCCTTCACGCTTCCTGCCTCTCCACAGCAAAATGGGATTGCTGAGCGCCGCATTGGCATGGTCATGGACGTCGCTCGTACGTCCATGATCCATGCGGCTGCCCCCCATTTTCTGTGGCCGTTTGCGGTTCAGTACGCAGTGCATCAGCTCAACCTTCAGCCCCGGGTCTCCTTGCGAGAGACCTCCCCCACCTTGCGGTGGACGGGGAAGGTTGGCGATGCGTCTGCGTTTCGGGTCTGGGGATCTCGGGCGTTTGTCCGCGACTTGTCTGCGGACAAGCTGTCCCCCCGTGCTATCCCCTTCGTCTTCCTTGGCTTCCCCCCTGACGCGCCTGGTTGACAATTTTACCTCCCCACCCCGCGCCGTACTCTGTCCTCCCAGGACGTCACCTTTGACGAGTCGGTGCCTTACTACCGTCTCTTCCCCTACCGCACTGCGCCCCTCCCCTCACCGCCGCTCTTCCTTGCGCCAGGTCCTCCTCCGGTAGACCCCCTACCCCCTCAGGGTCCTGCCCCGTCAGGTGTGTCCCAGGTAGACGCAGTTGAGCCTGTCGAGGTAGCTGTTGACTCTGGTGCTGCTAGGGGCGCTGAGCCTGCCGGTGCCGGGTCTGGGGGTGCGGAGCCTGGGGGTGCTGAGCCTGGGGGTGCTGAGCCTGGGGGTGCTGAGCCTGGGGGTGCTGAGTCTCAGGGTGCTGAGCCTTAGGGTGCGGAGCTTGGGGGTACTGAGCCTGGGGTTTCGGAGCCTGGGGGTGCAGAGGTTGGGGGTGCTGGGTCTGCTCGTGTGGCCTCTGGCGGTGCTTTGTCGAGGCGGGAGCTACTCTCTTCGCAGGAGCTGCGCGAGTGGTTTGCCCGCTGCAGGAGCCGTGCTGCTGCTGGAGCTGGAGCTGGAGGTACTACTGTTGCTGCTGGTCCTGGAGGTGCTCATCCTGGCGGTTCTGGAGCTGCTGCGACTGGGAGTCCTGCTGGAGGTACTGCAGGAGCTGCTTGCGGTACTGGAGCTGACGGTCCTTTTGGAGTTGGTGCTGCTGGAGCTGCTGGAGCTGGAGCTGCTGGGGGTGTTGGCGCTGGTGGTTGTGCTGGCGCTGGTGCTTTTGAGGGTATTGGAGTTGGCGCTGTGCGGCCGAGGTGCTGCTGGCACTGGTGCTGCCGCTAGGGATAGTGGTGCTGTCCCTTCTGGTTCTGGAGGCGCTGTGCGGCCGAGGCCGTACTTTGTTCCGCTCCTTGAGCAGGTTCTTGGTCTCCCGCCCTCTACTGGTTCTGCTCCTCCCTTAGAGTGTCCACAGCCTGTCCAGTTGCAGTCACAGTTACAGCCCGCCTCCCCCCTACCTGCTCCTTCTCCCTACACTGGTCCTACTGGAGGTCTTACTGAGCGTCGTGAGCCTGCGTCTCGTCCTGCGTCGCCTGTTCGTGCTGCTCTCACTAGTGGTCGTGCTCCGCGTCCGCGTCCTCCTGCGGTCCCCGGCACACACCAGATGGAACTGCGTCCTTCCACTTCTCCTCTGCGTGTCCCGTTGCTGTCTCCTCCAGAATCCTTTCTTCCTACTCTTGCTGACCCACTGACTCTCTTTCTGCTGCCAAACCTACTGTCACGCGTCTCCCGGCTACTGTTGCCACTGGCCCTTCTTTTGAGTCCACTGCTGCGTCTACCTTAGTTGCTGAGCTGGTCGACTTTGCTGCTCGCTGTCGTCTAGACTACGCTGCTAGTCTTGTTGCTGAGTCTGAGTCTGTCTGTCTTCCGTCCGTCAGGGGTGAGTGTGCTCTTAGCACGGACGTCCTTGAGGACAGGCAGGAGGAGTTCCAGTGTTTTGCTGCTGCTTTGCCTCATCTCGTGTCCACGCTGATTGCCCCTAAGGGAGACCTGGATGCACCAGACATCCCGACTCCTCGATCGTACGCTGAGGCGATCGAGGGTCCCTAATCCTCACAGTGGAAGTCAGCCATGGACGCAGAGATGGCTTCCTGGAAGTCCACAGGCACCTACGTCGACGAGGTTCCCCCACCTGGGGCGAACATCGTCAGTGGCATGTGGATTTTCAGGGTGAAGCGGCCGCCGGGTTCTCCGCCTGTCTTCAAGGCGCGTTACGTGGCTCGAGGCTTCAGTCAGCGGCAGGGAGTTGACTACTTTCAGACCTTCTAGCCCACCCCGAAGTTGACCACTCTTCGGGTGCTGCTGCACATAGCCGCTCAGCGCGACTACGAGCTTCACTCTCTTGACTTCAGCACAACTTTCTTGCGGGGCAGCCTGCACGAGGAGATCTGGATGCGCCGCCCACCTGGCTTCACTGGGTCGTTTCCTCCTGGTACCCAGTGGAGCCTCCAACGGCCAGTCTACGGTCTCCGCGAGGCGCCTCGTGAGTGGCACGACACACTGAGGACTACACTTGCGGCTCTTGGGTTTGCTCCTTCTACTGCCGACCCGTTGCTGTTTCTGCGCACCGACACCTCTTTGCCGCCATTCTACATCCTCGTGTACGTCGACGACTTGGTCTTTGCCACTGCAGACATTGCTGGACTCGCCCACGTGAAGCCCGAGCTGCAGAAGAGACACACGTGCACAGACCTGGGTGAACTGCGCAGCTACCTTGGCTTGCAGATCACCCGGGACAGAGCACAGCGCACCATTACCCTGACTCAGTCACACATGGTGCAGCAGGTCCTTCAGCGCTTCGACTTCACGTACTCCTCGCCTCAGGCCACTCCTCTGTCTACTCGCTACTCGCTCTCAGCTCTGCCTTCGGATGAGTCCGTAGAGTCGATTGGCCCGTACCCAGAGCTTGTTGGCTGCCTTATGTACCTGATGACCTGCACACGACCTGACCTAGCATACCCTCTTAGCATCTTGGCACGCTATGTTGCTCCTGGGAGACACCGAACAGAGCACATGGCTGCAGCGAAGAGGGTGTTGCACTACTTGTGCAGAACGTCGGGCATGGGGCTTGTGCTTGGAGGGCGACGTCCACTGGTCCTCACAGGTCACGCTGACGCTTCTTGGGTTGACGACCAGGCTACGCAGCGGTCGTCACAGGGTTACAACTTCAGCCTTCGCTCCGGCTCTGTTTCGTGGCGGTCTGCCCGCTCGTCCTCTGTTCCCGGCTCCAACTGTGAGGCTGAGATCTGCGCGGTGGCCATGGCTGCACAGGAGCTACGCTGGCTCACCTACCTGCTGACTGACCTAGGAGAGCCGCCTCGTTCTCCTCCAGTTCTGTACGTAGACAACAAGGCCATGCTGGCCTTGTGTCGGGAGCACAGACTGGAGCACAGAACGAAGCACATTGCTCTTCGCTACTTCCTTGCTCGTGAGCTGCAGCAGCGCGGTCAGCTGCGCCTTGCTTACGTGGCCTCTGAGGCCAACACTGCTGATATCTTTACCAAGGCACTTCCGCCTCTCAGAACATTATAGCTTATACTTTTGTGTAGGCTGTAGTGGGGTATCCCATAGGGGGTACCACCCAATTAGGGTTAGTACTTGTACCCACTTCATTCATAGTTCATTCATTCTCGTTTCTTCTCATGGTATCGAGCAGGTTCCCTAGTGGGAACTGATCCTAGGGCCCACCATCGAAAAAATTTTCCTGCCTGAAGCGCGCTCCGCTTAGGCCCGTGTCGCGCCTCGGGTCCTCTCTCTACCGTCGCGGCCTCCCTCGAGCCGCCCTTACTCGGCCGTCGCCGCCCTTAGGGGCCCGTCGCCACCCTAGGCCGCCCGCCCGCCGCCCTATCGACGCCAGTCCCGGCCCTGTGCGCCGCCCGTCCCGTGCGACGCGGCCCGTGCGCCGCTCGTCCCGGCCCGTCGCCGCCCGACGCGGCCCGTGCGCCGCCTGTCCCGGCCCGACACCGCCCTTCGTGGCCCGCGCGCCGCCTGTCCTGTCCCGTCGCAGCCCGGCCCGTCGCCGCCCTACCCTACCTGCGGACTTGCCGCCCTACCTAGCGGCCCCGCCGCCTCACTCGGCGGCCCCGCCACCCTACCTGCGGCCCCGTCGCCTCACTCAGCGGCCCCGCAACCCTACCTGCGGCCCCGCCACCCTACCTGCGGCACCGCCACCCTACCTGCGGCCCCGCCACCCTACCTGCGGCCCCGCCACCTCGCTCTCGGCCTCGTTACCTGCTGCAGCGCCGCCCGCAACCCTAGCCGCCCGAGCTGTCTCACCCGGCCGAGCAGCACAACCGAGCCGCCCGGCAGCAGAGCAGCCGAGCCGCCCAGCAGCCGAGCCGCCCAGCAGCCGAGCCGCCCAGCAGCCGAGCCGCCCAGCAGCCGCACCGCCCAGCAGCCGAGCCGACCAGCAGCCGAGCCGCTCAGCAGCGGAGCCACCGAGTCGCCGAGCCGCCGAGCCGCCCTACTTCCGAGCCGCCCGACCTGCCCAGTCTGGTAAGCACAGCGCCTTTTCACTGCACTACCCTCACCCTACTGTTTGCACTGCTAGTCGTCTAGGGTCATGGCTACCCCTAGTGTTCTCGCCTTTGACGCTGAGGGTCGGGCCATTGACTTTGAGGTCTGGGTAGATGACCTGCAGCTGTTCTTACAGTGCGATAGGGCAGACGGCCTCTCTCTCTTTGACCTCACCTCTAGCGCCTCCCCTGCCCCTGCTGCTGATGCTGAAGCCACTGTTCGCTCCCAGTGGGCCACGCGCGACGCTGCTGCACGTCTTGCTGTGCGTCGCCACCTCCCTACCTCCGAGCGTGCGCACTTTAGTCAGTACAAGAGTGCTCACACCTTGTACGACGCTGTAGTTGCGCGCTACTCCTCCCCTGCCACTGCTGCACTGAGCCGTCTCATGCTACCGTACCTCTTTCCTGACCTTGCTGCCTTTCCCACAGTCGCTGTTCTCATTACGCACCTCCGCACTAGTGACACTCGCTACCGCGCTGCACTTCCTCCTGACTTCTGCGCCAAGAACCCCCCCCCCCCCATGTACATCACTCTTTACTACATAGTCACTCGCCTTCCTGACTCCATTCGCGTAGTCAAAGACCACTACCTCTCTGTCTGTCCCACCACTCTCACTGTTGACCTCCTCGAGAAGTCCCTCCTAGCGGCCGAGAAGAGCATAGTCGCTGTAGGGGCCTCTCGTGGTGACCCGCGCACCCCCATCTTTGAGGGGTGTTCCCCCTCCCCCCTTATGCCCTCTGTTGCCTCTGCTGCTGCGGCCGACCTCCTTGGTCTTGAGTCGGTCAGTGCGGCGTCTGCCCCTACCGGGACATGCCGCTCTTGCAAAGGCAAGGGGGGCAAGGGCGCTGGAGGAGCGAGCGGGGGCGGTGGAGGTGGAGGTGGCGGTAGTGGGGGGAGTGAGGGTGGTGGTGGGAGTGGAGGTGGGGATGGAGGGGTCGGTGGCGGCAGTGGAGGCGGAGGTGGCGGCGGCGGTGGCGGTGGGAGCGGAGGTGGCGGAGGTGGCGGTGGTGGAGGCGGAGGAGGAGGCGGCGGAAGTAGCGGAGGCGCCGGAGGTGCTGGAGGTGCTGCTGGAGGTGTTGCTGGAGGTTCTGGAGCTGCTGGAGATGCTGCTGGAGCGGGTGCCCCTGCTTGGGGTACTTGTGCTGTCCCTGCTATTTCTGGCATCGCTACGCGGCCTCGTCCGTACTTCGTTCCACTCCTGCAGCAGGTTCTTGGTCTTCCACCTTCTACTGGTCCTCCTCCTCCCTTGGAGGGTCCACAACCTGTCCCGTCACAGTCACAGCTACAGCCTACCTCCCCTTTGCTTGCTCCTTCTCCCTACGCTGGTCCTACTGGAGGTCTTACTGAGCGTCGTGAGCCTGCGTCTCGCCCTACGTCGCCTGTCTGTTCTGCTCGCGCTAGTGGTCGTGGTTCGCGTCCGCGTCCTCCTCCTGTCCCTGGCACACACCAGATGTCTCTGCGTCCGTCTACTACTCCTGTGCGTGCCCCTTTGCCTTCTCCTCCTGAGTCCTCTCTTCCTGCTCTTGCCGACCCGGAGTCGGACTCTCTTCGTGCTGCCAGTCCTACTATTACGCGTCTCCTTGCTACTGTCGTCACTGACCCTTCTTTTGAGTCTACTGTTGCGTCTTCCCTTGTTGCTGAGCTCGTCGACTTTGCTGCTCGCTGTCGCCTAGACTACGCTGCTAGTCTTGTCGTTGAGTCTGAGTCTGTCTGTCCTCCGTCCGTCGGGGGTGAGTGTGCCCTTGGCACGGACGTCCTTGAGGACAGGCAGGAGGAGTTCCAGTGTCTGGCAGCTGCTTCACCTCATCTCGTGTCCGTACTGCTTACCCCTGAGGGAGACCCGGATGCACTTGACATCCCGACTCCGCGCTCTTACGCGGAGGCGATAGAGGGTCCCTACTCCTCTGAGTGGCAGGCAGCTATGGATGCAGAGATGGCTTCCTGGAAGTCCACAGGCACCTACGTTGACGCTGTCCCCCCTCCTGGGGCGAACATCGTCAGTGGCATGAGGATCTTCAGGGTGAAGCGACCGCCGGGTTCTCCGCCTGTCTTCAAGGCGCGTTACGTGGCTCGTGGCTTCAGTCAGCGGCAGGGAGTTGACTACTTTCAGACCTTCTCCCCCACCCCAAAGATGACCACTCTTCGGGTGCTGCTGCACGTTGCTGCTCACCGTCACTTCGAGCTGCACTCTCTCGACTACAGCACTGCTTTCTTGCAGGGCAGCCTGCACAAGGAGATCTGGCTGCGCCGCCCACCTGGCTTCACTGGGTCTTTCCCTCCTGGTACCCAGTGGAGTCTCCGGCGTCCAGTCTACGGTCTCCGCCAGGCGCCACGTGAGTGGCACGACACACTGAGGACTACACTTGCGGCTCTTGGGTTTGCTCCTTCTACTACCGACCCGTCGCTGTTTCTGCGCAACGACACCTCTCTGCCGCCGTTCTACATCCTCGTGTACGTCGACGACTTGGTCTTTGCCACAGCTGACACTGCTGGACTCGCCCACGTGAAGTCCGAGCTGCAGAAGAGACACACGTGCACAGACCTGGGTGAATTGCGTAGCTACCTTGGCTTGCAGATCACCCGGGACAGAGCACGCCGCACCATTACCCTGACTCACTCACACATGGTGCAGCAGGTCCTTCAGCGCTTCGGCTTCACGTACTCCTCGCCTCAGGCCACTCCTCTGCCTACTCGCCACTCGCACTCAGCTCTGCCTTCGGATGAGTCCGTAGAGTCGAGTGGCCCGTATCCAGAGCTTGTTGGCTGCCTCATGTACCTGATGACCTGCACACGACCTGACCTTGCATACCCTCTTAGCATTCTTGCACGCTATGTTGCTCCTGGGAGACACCGACCAGAGCACATGGCTGCAGCGAAGAGGGTGTTGCGCTACTTGTGCAGTACGTCGGGCATGGGGCTAGTGCTTGGAGGGCGGAGTCCAGTGGTCCTCACTGGGCACGCAGACGCTTCTTGGGCTGACGACCAGGCTACGCAGCGGTCGTCACAGGGTTACACCTTCAGCCTCGGTTCCGGCTCTGTTTCGTGGCGGGCTACTCGCTCGTCTTCTGTTCTCGGCTCCAGTTGTGAGGCTGAGATCTACGCTGGGGCCATGGCTGCCCAGGAGCTTCGCTGGCTCACCTACCTGCTGACCGACCTTGGAGAGCCGCCTCGTTCTCCTCCAGTTCTGTACGTAGACAACAAGGCCATGTTGGCCTTGTGTCGAGAGCAGAGACTAGAGCACAGAATTAAGCACATTGCTCTTTGCTACTTTCTTGCTAGTGAGCTACAGCAGCGTGGTCAGTTGCGGCTTGTTTACGTGGCCTCTGAGGCCAACACTGCTGATGTTTTCACCAAAGCACTTCCGCCTTGTGATCATCAGCGCTTCTGCACTCAGCTGGGTCTTGTCCCTGTCTTGCCTCACTTACTCACCCCTTGACCTTGCTTGTACTGTTACATATATATATACCTGCTCTTGCTTGTCTAGCCTTTTATATATATACGTACTCCTACATGTAAACTGGCCTTGTGGCCTTGAACTTGTGCTCAGAATGTGTGGTGACGTTGTGATCCACCCTGAGCTTGCTTTGCTTTGCTTGACTGGTCTTGTGACCCCTTGTTCTCCCCCACTTTGCCTATTGGGGTGTGTCAGAACATTATAGCTTATACTTTTGTGTAGGCTGTAGTGGGGTATCCCATAGGGGGTACCACCCAATTAGGGTTAGTACTTGTACCCACTTCATTCATAGTTCATTCATTCTCGTTTCTTCTCACCGCCTTGTGATCATCAGCGCTTTTGTACTATGCTAGGTCTTGTGCCTACTTGGCCTCACTTGCTCACTTCTCGACTTTGCTTGTACTGTGACCTATATATACCTGCACTTGCATGCTTACCCTTGCTAGGTTGAGATCACTGCCTTGTCTGCATGTGAACTGGCCTTGTGGCCTTGTGCTTGTGCTCAGATTGTGTGGTGACGTTGTGATCCACCCTGAGCTTGCCTTGCTTCTCTTGACTGGTCTTGTGACCTCTTGTTCTCCCCCACTTTGCCTATGGGGGTGTGTCAGACTTATATGCTATAGTTTGGGTAGGCTGTAGTGGGGTAGTTCATATGGGATACAACACTTTAGGGTTTCCTACTTGTACTCCTCATGCTGCTTAATGCAATCATTCCTTGTTCTTTCACAGGCAGAAGTCAGCCGCCAGCTCCCCGTCGTCGGTGGTTTTTTTTTTTTTTTTTTGGCGGACATAAGTACAATACACGCATACATACATTCGCAGTCGTAAATGATGCTAGGAGGGCACAAAGAGTTATAAGTAACCGAACCCCCCTCGTCCTTTTTATGAAGGTTGGAAAGCGGGAGACACGATTGGACAAGTTGCTGTGAAATAGAACGAGAATGAGATGAGCTATGAAAGAGTTGGGTACAAGTACTAACCCTAATTGGGTTGTACCCCTTATGGGCTACCCCACTACATCCTACACAAATGTATAAGCTATAATGTTCTGACACACCCCCATAGGCAAAGTGGGGGAGAACAAGGGGTCACAAGACCAGTCAAGCAAAGCAAAGCAAAGCAAGCTCAGGGTGGATCACAAAGTCACCACACATTCCGAGCACAAGTTCAAGGCCATAAGGCCAGTTCACATGCAGGATTACATATATATATAATGCTAGATAAGCAAGAGCAGGTGTATATATATATATACATATATGCAACATTACAAACAAGGTCAAGGGGTGAGCAAGTGAGGCAAGGTAGGCACAAGACCCAGCTGAGTACAGAAGCGCTGATGATCACAAGGCGCAAGTGCCTTGGTGAAGATATAAGCAGTGCTGGCTCCAGAGGCCACGTACGCAAGTCGCAGCTGACCACGCTGCTGTAGCTCACGAGCAAGGAAGTAGCGGAGAGCAATGTGCTTCGTTCTCTGCTCTCGACACAAGGCCAGCATGGCCTTGTTGTCTACGTACAGCACTGGAGGAGAACGAGGCGGCTCTCCAAGGTCAGTCAGCAGGTAGGTAAGCCAGCAAAGCTCCTGTGCAGCCATGGCCCCGGCGTAGATGTCAGCCTCACAACTGGAGCCGAGAACAGAAGACAAGCGGGTAGCCCGCCACGAAACAGAGCCGGAACCAAGGCTGAAGGTGTAACCCTGTGACGACCGCTGCGTAGCCTGGTCGTCAGCCCAGAAGCGTCTGCGTGCCCAGTGAGGACCACTGGACTCTGCCCTCCAAGCATAAGCCCCATGCCTGACGTACTGCACAAGTAGCGCAACACCCTCTTCGCTACAGCCATGTGCTCCGGTCTGTGTCTCCCAGGAGCAACATAGCGTGCGAGAATGCTAAGAGGGTATGCAAGGTCAGGTCGAGTGCAGGTCATAAGGTACATGAGGCAGCCAACAAGCTCTGGGTACGGGCCACTCGACTCTACGGACTCATCCGAAGGCAGAGCTGAGAGCGAGTGGCGAGTAGGCAGAGGAGTGGCCTGAGGCGAGGAGTACGTGAAGCCGAAGCGCTGAAGGACCTGCTGCACCATGTGTGACTGAGTCAGGGTAATGGTGCGGCGTGCTCTGTCCCGGGTGATCTGCAAGCCAAGGTAGCTACGCAGTTCACCCAGGTCTGTGCACGTGTGTCTCTTCTGCAGCTCGGACTTCACGTGGGCGAGTCCAGCAGTGTCAGCAGTGACAAAGACCAAGTCGTCGACGTACACGAGGATGTAGAACGGGAGGAAAGAGGTGTCGGTGTGCAGAAACAGCGACGGGTCGGCAGTAGAAGGAGCAAACCCAAGAGCCGCAAGTGTAGTCCTCAGTGTGTCGTGCCACTCACGGGGCGCCTGGCGGAGACCTTAGACTGGCCGAAAAGACCCAGTGAAGCCAAGTGGGCGACGCAGCCAGATCTCCTCGTGCAGGCTGCCCTGCAAGAAAGCAGTGCTGAAGTCACGAGAGTGCAGCTCGTAGTCACGGTGAGCAGCTATGTGCAGTAGTACCCAAAGAGTGGTCATCTTCGGGGTGGGAGAGAAGGTCTGAAAGTAGTCAGCTCCCTGCCGCTGACTGAAGCCACGAGCCACGTAACGCGCCTTGAAGACAGGCGGAGAACCCGGCAGCCGCTTCACCCTGAAAATCCACATGCCACTGACGATGTTCGCCCCAGGAGGGGGAACCTCGTCAACGTAGGTGCCTGTGGACTTCCAAGAAGCCATTTCTGCGTCCATAGCTGCCTGCCACTGAGAGGAGTAGGGACCCTCTATCGCCTCCGCGTACGAGCGCGGAGTCGGGATGTCTAGTGCATCCGGGTCTCCCTCAGGGGTAAGCAGTACGGACACGAGATGAGGTGAAGCAGCAACCAGACACTGGAACTCCTCC